GCTTCACAGACCCACGAGGCAACTGGCCATGCTCATACAAGAGGAAATTGGGCGTCGGACAGCCGTGCTTCATAGACCCACGAGGCAACTGGCCACGCTCATACGAGAGGAGATTGGGCGTCGGATAGCCGTGCTTCGTGGACCCACGAGGCAACTGGCCACGCTCATACGAGAGGAGATTGGGCGTCGGACAGCCATGCTTCGTGGACCCACGAGGCAACTGACCACGCTTATACGAGAGGAAATGGGGCGTCGGACAGCCGTGCTTCATAGACTCACGAGGCAACTGGCCACGCTCTACGAGAGGAGATTGGGCGTCGGATAGCCGTGCTTCATAAACCCAGGAGGCAACTGCACCCGTTCTCAGAACGCCTATCAGCACGCAGCGAGCTGATCCATGACACTCGGCAGTTTGCCGCCGAAACAGTCCGACCTATCGGACTCTATCGGACTATCTATGCATTACGGCCGTCGCCGCGTGCCGTTCGGCCATGCGCTCGACGCGGTAATTGATCCCGCATCGAGCGCTGCCTCTGCGCGCGGGCACCGCTGGACCAGGGCGCTCGAGCTACGACAGCCGCCGACAGGGCGGCGATTTCAGCTACATCGTGCGACCGATTGGCTCACGGGAAACTCCTCGGGCAAACTCGGACCCGCTCGGACCCACGCGCTCCCCGTCGGTGTGCGATTGTGTGGTCGCAAGCGGCGTAGCAGTGTGGTCATAGTATTGCTACTTTTGCGGACTGTTCCATTCGGAAGTCGCTCGCTGACTGCCGGCCCACTCACGTCTCAGTCGTGGGAGACGGGTGCAGATCGTCCTTGTGTGGTCGGTACACTTGCTTGCCGCGTATTGACGGGTCCGGCTGCCAGCCTTGGCGACAGATTTACTCTGTACATCTGTGCTGACCACCGTCGTGCAAAAAGCTGTACTGACCACCGTTGTGCAAAAAGCTGTACTGACCGCCGTTGTGCAACGCTGTTAGCTCGTAAGTTTATCTGCGTTTGCGGCGAAAACACATCACCTCGTCTGTTTGTCGCGCCGTGTCGGGGCAATTTGCGTGTTTTGCCCGCCGCTGGCCGCTCCTTGGTACCGTTGCTGATCGATACAGCGTATTGGCCTCGCCGAATTACTTTGGCCGTGACTGGTACACCGATCCGCGCGTCGCCCTGCCTTGATCGCCGCGGTTGGATCGGCAGAATGCGTGTGTCCACCGCCCCGCTCGCTCTGTGCGTGAGGACCGTTTCAGCGGCACGTGTGCTGTCTTGCTCTGACGGCCAGGCACAGACCAGCAGCCGGGCCTGAGCACTGGCCCGTCCGCTGCGGCCGGTGCGGGCTGGCACGGTGGCGTGCGCGGCGCGCCCTCCGCTGACCAGTGTGTGCGCCCGTGCCGCAGGTGGGCGGCTTCACGTGGAGCGGCCACTTCACATGGATCGACGTGCCCGAATGGGAGCAGCAGCGGCGCGGCACCGCCGCCGACCCCACCAGGTCAGCGGCCCCAGGCCGGGACCTCGGCGCTGACCTCGCCACGCTGTGGCTGACGAGACGCGCGGGGAGCCCGCACGCTGTTAAAGCGCGCCACGTTGTCGTCGTCGTTGTTGATACGATGCATTCGGCTGCTGGGGCTATATGGCGTCGACGGTCTTTCAGCCTGGCAGGAGGGGTGGGCATCGCGTCGACGCCAAACAGGGGGGGGGGGGGGGTCTGTAGAAGACTGTCTTACGTCAGATTTCTACTACAGTAATGGTTCAAGTGATCCATAAATAGGGCGTGCTGTTGAAGATAAATTGCGCGGTAAATTACACGACCTATGCTCACGTTACGCGGTTGAAAACCACTCTGCGTTGCGACGTGGCCCACCGTGGGTTTGGTAGGCCCTGCTGTCGGGCTTTCGTCGATGTTCGTCTCATCTTAATTCTGAGACGCTGAGACAGAAGGCTGAAAGGTTCCCGATGTGGCAAAAGGGACTTCAGTACTTGTTCATTCTATTAAGATACCGTGAGCTCTTTCCTCCACGGACGCAGACAGCCGGAAGCTTTGCTAACGTATTTAGGGAAGTGCATCTCAGGGGGATAGAACTTAGAGATTGCCGTGTCCCGCCGTCTTCCTAGGTCACGACAGGTCCGGATCCTGGTACCCCGCCGCCAGACTATCGCCTCGGGCGTGCTGGCGCCGTCGGTGTCGGCTGATGGATCCCCGGCCGGCGCTGGGTCGACGGTGGCTCGTCTGTCGGCTGATGGAGCCACACTGGGTCGGCGGTAGCTCGCGGTACTCGGCCTTCAGTGGCGTTCTATCCGCAGATTCACACATCCGTCTGTCGGTGCGCAGTCTGGCGTTCGCATCGTAAACGCAACGTGTTGTGCAATGGGTTCTGCCGTCCATTCTCAGAAACACGCAGCTAACATTTTTTCTCGAAATGGAGCTATTGGTATCAGCATTGGTATCATATCATCTGTCTCGACGAGCCGCGCATTTTGGCCCAGTAAAAAGTGTACGGTAGTGATTTTAAAAATAATTATAGGGGACATCAGGTTGGTAGATACGCGTATAGGTTGTGCCTGTGACGTTTTTCAAAGACAGAAACGAGTTACTGACTCGTATCTGTGTAACAAGAGCCTCAATTGTTCCCAGGCGCTCCGTTTTCAGGGCCAAAAACGCGTGTCAGTTTACATACGCAGCCTTGTCACCTACGATCAGCGTCATCACCGTCCAAAGCGCGTAGCTGTGTAGTTACGCGTTTTTGTCATTGCGAACCGTTGTAAATTGAGCAGTTACGCTTTTTGTCATTAATGTTTGTTCCTTGAAGTTGTTTCCAAATCTATGCAAATACGCACATCTTCACAGCGGAGGTGCTGCGGTCGTACACGTGCGTTGCAGTCTTCCATACAATTGGGGGGGGGGGAGAGTAGAGCAGTTTCGGTGTGTTTATACCGGGCTTCTTAACCATGGATTTTTACCACCAGAACCTACCGTCATTCTGCCATGCACAACGGGCATGCCTGACACCATGTCTGACGCTCTCCAGCCAGCAGGTCCTTAACTTTTGCAGAAACATTCGCCGGCCTGAGTTGATAATGAATGAGACACGACATCCTTGCCTGGTTGCTTGGTGTTGTCCAATCACCCATTCGATGCTTAGTAGCTGCGTGTAGAAGACGTGTTTCTGCGCAGATGCTCGTTTTTACCGACGTACGAGACGTTCCTGAGCCCCTTACTACAGCAAAACACGTATGTTATCAGATACGCGTTTTCACCAAGTTACGCCTTTTTGCCTTTGACCACTGCTAGGTTTGACTTTGACCACTGTTAGGTTTTAATACCGTCCTCCCCTGTTAAAAAACATGTCAGCAGCTAAGACTGTTGTTATCTCCATTCCTTTTTTAAAAAATTATTTGCTAGGTAGGGAATTGTTATGTCTTCTGATCGGTGTACACTTTCTACTTATTGCTTCTTATGCATGACTATGACACCAAAATAACACAAGAAACGCTCTCCTGAGCAATTATGGAATTGTTGGTTAGGCGTTTTTGACTTTTGATGGCAGAGTTGTCAACGCTTGGTTTCCTGAGCTGGGAACGCTCAGTAATTTTTGTCCATTGAACGGAAAAAAGATTCACCGGCACCAGATTAGTAGGTAGTGTGTCCAGGCACCCCAACACAGGTATCTAATTTCGGTTTCGAGTTGTAAATTGCATTATCTGTGTAGTGAAGATGTCATGTTGTATGTAATGAGGATATGTATGCATAATGGAAATGACAGCTTGATATGGTCCATGTGCACCTAGCGGGTAACCGCAGTAGCAGTGTTCTGAAGTCAAAAGCACAGTTCGTCGCTATTTGTCAACCGGTCACACCTGTGCAGCGAGCTACGACTAGACGACTAACGTCTGCTTCAGATCCCGCCCTGCCCCACCCTGCCCCACCCTGCCCTGCCCCGTCCCGCCCCGCCCTGTCCTGTCCCGGCCCGCTGTGGTCTGGCCGCTCCCGGCAGGCCGGGAGCGCTGTGCAGCCGACACACCGCCCGCCCGGGGGGGGGGGGGGAGGGGAAGGGACATTAGTAGGCTGTCTGCTGCATTAGCACCTGTCGGCCAGGGACCTCGGCGCTGTCCGGGGGCGGGGAGTTCACCTGATTGCCGCAGCAGGTGGCTAATGTTGCCGCGCTAGTGGGAGAGCTGCACGCGTTGGTGACGGTTATTGGGAGCGGACGTGCTTCAGAAGAGCTTACCACGCCGACAGATGGGGACGCGTTTGTTCCTGGAGTGTTTGCGTGACTATGCGCCGATGTCAAGGTTCGCGATTATTTGGGATGATTAACTTTAGGTCTTTGTTAACGTAAGGGAAAAATTGTGTAAAGCCAGCGGAATATTGTGCTGTTAAACTCGGGATCGAGCGCGGGATGTGGGAAGGAATGTGACCGAGCACTGTTGAGCTGGTCGTGGACTGGGATAGAGACTGCCAAAGGGAAACCAGTGTAAATATGGGAAGTCAGGCAGACGTAGAGTAGGGCGCGGGGTCAGTGATGGCGTATGTGCAGCTTCGCAAAAGCACAACACTCGACAGAATGGAATACTGCGAGCATATGGCGGCCCCTGTTTTCGCCTGCCATCTGCCTCATTCGTCCCGGTCTCCCGGCCGTGCGTATATGCCGTTTAGCGGGTGCCCCACTTCGTTCTGGATCCTCCAGGCCCGGACATCGCAGTGTTGACTGCTCAGCGCTCCCGTGGATCCCGTTGCAACCAGCGCCAGACGGGAGCAATCTCGACCCCGATTGATTCCCCGTCACTTGTTCGTCCTCGCCGCTTCTGGGAACGCCGGCGCTGAGCCCAGCCCTGCCGTTAACGAGGTCGCGCTGCGCGAGCGGCCGCCTCGTACGCGGTCGCCCGGCGTCCGCAGACTGATGGTTATCGCCCCGGCGCCGGCCGCGGCCCGCTGACTGTGCCGGATCGTGCACGTGCGATGCCCTCGATGTGGGAACGCCTGCCGGCGTCGGGGTTGGCCCGCCCTGCCCGCCGGTCAGACGCCCCAATGAAAGTGGTCCGACCACTTTCGAATTGCAGGTGCCGGGCGAAGACGGGTCGTGCCGTCGAGACGTGCTGTTTCATCTGGCTGAGTGGTGAGGCGATGTGGGGGCTCGCGCCGACCTCCGGGATCTCTCTTCCCTGATTACGTAATGCAGGGTGGCTGCCGGTGCGTCGGTCGAGACGCGGCACTGATGCTCGTCAAAAAAGAGCCGAGTTATTCGCCGTGAAATTAATGGAACGAAACAAAGTAAAGACGGGCTGTTAGTACAGCATGTGGAAACCTTCACTGAGTCAGGCATTGTCTTGCTGGGATCGTTTCTAGCTTCTCGCCTTTCGTTGTATGTGGGCGCCTGCCGCATGGGCCGTTTGGAGGAATGCTGCCATGACGCAGCGTTGAGACGAGCCGGGCTGACGCTACTGATCCCACGGACTGGTGTGTATGGCACCGTCCACAACGCCGCGACGCAATTTGTCTCGCCGAGTCGGGATGCCCAGCGCGGCGACGGACCGTTCTCCCGTTACCTCTGACATGTCGGCAGCAAATGGACTGCGTGGTGTTCAGAGCGTTCAGCTCCACACTAGCTGATGGGAGTCTGACTCGCGCGAGTGAGCCGGAGCGTTAGCGCTGCCAACGCCAATGACGGGGTGGACGGGTCTGAACCTGAACGCCGTCACGGCGTGGCGCGCGCGCTGCGCCGTAATGGAAGGTTAGCGTCACCCCCAGCACCGTCGCGACCGCGTCTGCGGCGTTGCCGTCCGCTTTGGCGCGCTACCGAAGCATTCTCCGATGTGTGAAAACGGGCGCGCAGCGCTCTTTGGTAGCCGTCGTGTTAAGCCCGGCAAAACCTGTGGTGTGTGTGTGTGTGTTTGGAGGGGGCGGTCTGGGATCCCGTTACGACCGTCAGCGTCGTTCGGCGGCCGTTCCCGGGTGTAGCATTTGGCCGCGGGAGTCCGGCCCGTCAGGTCGATGCCGTGACATGCCCCCTGGGGGAGGGGGCGGGGCAAGTCGAGTCGGTTACGGCCGGCCAACACGCGAGCGGCTGACCGCGTCCGGTGGCGGCCGCGGCAGGACGGGATGCCCAACAACACGCAAACACCGACGCGACTCCGCCCGCCAGCTCTGGGCCCGTCGGTCGCCCCCCCCCCCCCCCCCCCCCGGGTAGCGGTGTCAGGCGAGGTGCATAACAGCGCCGAAGCACGGAAACCGCTCGTGCCGGTGGGCGCGCGGCCGCTGCCGTCACGGGCGCCGCCCGACCTCACGGGCGGCCGGCCCGACCGCGCTGGGGACGGGGAAGCCGCGCCTGGGATCGGCCGGCTCGGGAAGAAGGCGCAGCTCTTCAATCATGCCACGCCTCTCCCCTCCCCCCCCCCCCCCCTCCTCCCCCGTCCCGTCCCGCACTGGTGCGACGATCGGGGAAAGCGCGGGCGCGAAACCGGTGTGAGGCGTTTTCCCAGGCTCCGGCGACCTCGATATTGTATTCAGTGTTAGGCGGGTGGTCCTGTGACGTGGCGCGGAGTTTCGCCCGCGCCGGCTGTGCGGGCTGAGCGGCCCCGCGTGATGGATGCGAGTAGAGGCATCACGTGCCCCTGTCCTGAGATCGAACCTAGGGCTCTCACATCGCGCGGCCTCGTCCCTCCTGCTGCTGCGTGCAGACCGGTGACGTGTCGCGATGCGTTTGGAGCCGGCCTGCTCACCATAGCGATGCGTTTAGAGCCGGCTTGCTCGCCACAGCGATGCGTTTGGACACAGCCTGCTCACCATAGCGACGCGTTTAGAGCTGGCTTGCTCGCCACAGCGATGCGTTTGGAGCCAGCCTGCTCACTATAGCGATGCGTTTGGAGCCGGCCTGCTCACCGTAGCGATGCGTTTAGAGCCGACCTGCTCACCATAGCGATGCGTTTAGAGCCGGCCCGCTCACCATAGCGATGCGTTTGGAGCCAGCCTGCTCACCATAGCGATGCGTTTGGAGCCGGCCCGCTCACCATAGCGATGCATTTGGAGCCGGCCTGCTCACCATAGCGATGCGTTTGGAGCCGACCTGCTCGCCACGGCGATGCGTTTAGAACCGGCCTGCTCACCTCAGCGATGCATTTAGAGCCGGCAATGAACCATAGCGATGCATTTAGGTTGGGCCGTTATGACGAGGGCACGAGGCTGTGTCGTCCAGCGGCGCCCTCACCGCCATGCTCACAGTCACGCGCGTCCCGCCGCCCGCCCCCGCTCTCACCGCCGCAGCGCTCCGTTCTGCGAAGCGCCGCCTGAAACAATGTCATGTGACAACGGGCGCGGCTGACCGATTTGACGGCGCTTAGTTTCGCCATGACTCCCTGCTGTTCCGGCGTGGTCGCCTACAAAGGCGTCACAATGCAGGATGATTCGTTTGTTCCGCCCAGTTCGTGCACCGCCCGTCACTTCATCTAGTGCTAAAATGGAATGCGCATTCAAAGTGGATATCCTCGTTTAAAAAGGACGTGACGATCGTGCGCATTGTGCTGTGGTGCTGGCCTTAGTGCTGGCCTTGCCAACATGAAGTGGTGTTGCCACTGTTCGTTTGGACAGAATGGCCGCGAGGACTGTGAATTTGGGAGAATACGTGTTCCTGTCTGCAAGTCAGAGCACCATGTGTGCTGTGACAAAATACCTGTTCGTTAGGAACACGCTGGGTGTATCACGGTCCATTTGCTTATGTTGTCTATATTGCTTATATTGTTTGCTTCTTTCCGTTTCTCAAAGCCTGTGTGTGCACTGAGTCAGGATTGTCTCCCGCCGAACGGAAACATTTTCGGAAGCCTCCATTCAGCGTGTGTGTGCTTCGTTCTGGGGCGTGGCGGACTGCGCAAGGAATTAGCTCTGGGGATTGGTTTTTTGCTGAACCTGGAATTCGCCGTTCGTAATCTGATTACCACGATTACCGTGCCAAATAAGAAGGAGTCCTGTGGATGCTTTTTGGAAAAATCCAATCTCTGAGTGGGATATTGAGATTCTCCTGCTCTTGTTTTAAGCGAGTTTAGTCTGTTATCGTGGCCGACTATTGTGCTTTGATCAAAAATTGACAAGAAAACGCAGAGGCGCACAGCATTTATATGTGTTTACGCTCGGCCTGTCTTATTGTCAGTGTTTTCATGCTCAGCTCTATGTATCTTCGTTGGGGGCATTTCTCCCGTTGCTGAGAAACGCTACCTAGTAGTCTTCAACAATCTGTCACTGTCCATTCGCTACTGCTTCTTGCTGCTAGTGTGCTTGCAGGCTTCACCCACTTAGCATTGTTCGTTGACCACGTCATCAGATCAGCGAGCACGATCCACGTCGGCCTGTTTTTCCGCTAACCTTCGCCCGCTGACTGTCTGCAGGTCACCAACAATGGCCGGCGGTCTGTTCGCTATCGACCGCCAGTACTTCTGGGAGTCGGGCAGCTACGACGAAGGCATGGACGTCTGGGGAGGCGAGAACCTCGAGATGTCCTTCCGGGTGAGACCGCCGATGGCGTTCTGCCTTCTGAACCCTCTGGATGGGCTTTCGTAACGAACGAAGTCTGCTGCTTTGGACATGCAGGAATACGTAGCTGGGATGCACTTGTGCTTTCCGGAGCTTGCGTTTTCTTTTAGCGAGATTGCGCGTGAGAAAGCTTGAAAGGAACATATTAGCATCAGCAATAGTTGAGTTGCTGTGCCCAACAGTTCAGCTGCTGCACATTCTTTTGTGACCTCCCTTCTACCTCACTGTTAACACGAACGCAATCTCCAGCATCTTGTGCTACGATGACACTTGCCGTCGGCGGCAGCAGGCCACATATCGCGCCGGACCTACTGCCGTTGGCAAGGGTGCCAGACTCATGCCGCTGCAGATCAGAGCTCAGACGTGCGTGTTGCCTGCTGGAGCTTAGAGCTCAGGCATACGCGCTGTGAGCTAAAACTCGAGAAACACGCGTGGTGCTAACTATAGCTCACAGCTCGGACTTTCGGGCTGTTAGCTGTAGCTCAGTGTCCAGATGTGCATGCTGTGAGCCGTAGCTCAGAGACCAGATGGGCGAGCCGTGAGCTGTGGCTCAGAGTCCAGCTGTGCATATTGTGAGCCGTAGCTCAGAGTCCAGATGTGCATGCTGTGAGCTGTGGCTTGGAGCTCAGACGTGCGCGCGTGCGTGCCGTGGCCGTCGCCAGATCTGGATGTGCGGCGGGAAGATCGAGACGATCCCATGCTCGCGGGTCGGCCACATCTTCCGCGACTTCCACCCGTACAGCTTCCCGGGCAACAAGGACACGCACGGCATCAACACGGCCCGGCTGGCCGAGGTCTGGATGGACGACTACAAGCGACTGTTCTACCTGAACCGGCCCGACCTCCAGGTCAGCGGCCGGCCGCCGGGCCCGCTCGTCGCCGGCTGATGCCGGCCGATGCTCGTGGTCATGGCTTGACTGGACCGACTCGAACACCGGGACTGAGAGAGATCTCTGAGGACTTAGTTCGAGGATTTAGTCAGAGAGCATATGAGTTGTTAACCGGTCTGACATGCAGGCCCGTTGACATGAGCATCTGCGCTGAACCGCTCTCAAGTCCAGTGCCCGCATACGCGTGGTGTCGCGTCTGAACCTCAACGCGAACATGCAAATGGATGGGCTTGTGGTCTGAACCGGGGCGGCTGCTGGGCTCCGAACCCGAGTCAGTCTCGTCAGCGTGACCGCGTCCTGCTCGTGCGCGAGTCGGAGTCACTGACGTCGCCTTGAGTGGGAGTCGCTGACGTCGCCTGTCCGCCCCGCAGGAGACAGAGATCGGCTCCGTGTCCGAGCGGCGCCAGTTTCGGCAGCGCATGCAGTGCCACACGTTCAAGTGGTACCTGGAGAACGTGCTACCGCAGAAGTTCATCCCTGACGAGAACGTGCAGGCTTACGGTCGCGTGAGTTACGCACTGAGGAGCGTTGTAGTTACACAGGGTGAAGTGTGCGCTGTGGGTCTGATTTTTTTTCATTGATGTTTTCGGGCGCGTCGACTGCGATGGTCATTTTGCGCCCAACTGTGGGTTTGATGTGGTTACGGTTTCGAAAAGTTGAAAGATTCAGGGAAGAATGCGGAATGCGTGTATCGATGAATTACCTCAGAGCCGGCTGGGTATCTACTGATTGAACTTAGTGGCGTCTCCCAGTTTGTATACCGAGCATTGCGTGCGTGTACCCGTGGCTGTGACCGAGACAACTCCCAGACTGACTTCTGCCGTGTGTTTGACCAGCCTCGGGACCGACGCCACCCCGCCGTGCTGCCTTGTTTCCACTCGTCGTTTCGATCGTTTGTTTCGCAATGTGCCATGCACATTTTGTCGTTGCTGATCACAAACAACTCGCGTTACATCCGGACCTCTTGACCAGTGCTAGAAGCCATACTGTGAACACCGTCCAGCTGATGTGTCGTCCCTCGTATCACGTGCTCAGTCCTCAGGCATATTAGTCCCTGATGTGGGCCTTAAGCCGTGACCATTTCTGCGTCTGTGGTGTGGAGGACCGGCTGGCCGGGCGACGGGAACGCGTGCTCACCCGGGCCCCGCCGGCGGCGCCTGCGGCCAGGTGACGTCAGCAGTGGCCCCGGTCTGTCTCGACAACCTGGACCGTGAGAATGACATCGCCGAGTACTACCTCGGCCTGTACGACTGTGTCAACGCCCCCTGGCGCAACGAGGTACCGCCGGCACGGCCTGCCGCCACCCGCCACACGCGCTGAGCACGCGCTGCCGCTGCGGGCGCCGCCCGGTCCGGACGCACCGACCCCCGCCCCGCCCCTCCCCGGCCACGCTCTCCTCGCACGCTGCCTGACGAGGCCGACTCCGGCCGACGGGACCTGGACGGAATGCGGACTGGACTGGCGACCTCTGGCGACACTCGGTGACCCCGGCGACCCCTGGTGACACTCGGTGACCCTGGCGACCCCTGGTGACACTCGGTGACCCTGGTGACCCCCGGTGACGCGTCTCTCTGTCTGTCCTGGGCTCGGAACAGGTGCGGAGTAACAGGACGTCCCCTCACCTCTGCCTGGACATGCTGCAGCGGAATGAGGACTCGGCCTACAACCTGGGCGTCTACGTCTGCCACAACTATGTGGCCGCGTCACAGGTGGCTTTGCTCTGCCCCCTCCCAAACGCTCGCTCTCACCGGGCTTATGGCGTGCTCCAACACGGCGGACGGCTGACTAGTTCGATCTGGCGACGCTAGATGTCAGGTCTCAGCCGGGTCCAGCGATCAGCCTGACCAGCGGGATTTTAGCGCTGATAGCTCAGGCTTGAACCATGCGCCACCAGCCGCTTGTCATGTTTGCCATGCTTTCAACAATGGGACCAGTATCAGGTGCACGCAGTCGACCGGCGTCGCGTGCAGCTCACTTTGTCATGCTTCTAAACTCGGTGATGCCCGTGCTGTTAACGTTGGTCAAGGCGCGCATTCCGTGACTTGCATGCCATGCATTTGAAGCGCTGCAGCCGCAAAAGGTGCTCCCGGCAGTTCTTATCCGTTTTTGGGTTACTTTAGTTGAAAGCGAAACGTATTTATGTTTGATCGGCGTTTAAGTACCAAATGTTGGGTCGGACGTCATGGCAGTAATGTCGATTTCCGTAGAAGGTGCGTTATTTTTCGGCTCATTGCATGTGTTCATTCAAAAATTCAGTGTTTTGTCTAAGTTAGATATCGCCTCGTAATCCAGTGCTGCTCCGTAGACCTCGAAGTCATACTCCCAGCTATCTATGTTGAAACAGCCGAATCCCGCCACCTAGCACCGTTCGTTTCCCGCGCCAGCAGCCCCCGCTTGCATCTCATCACCTGTCGTCACCCTGCCTGGACGTCGCCCCTCCTGTCAAATGTCTACCCCGCTCCGATACACGCCATCGCTGTACCCCGCCGGCGGCGCCTGACCGCTGTCGGCGCCTGCGCAGATGTTCTCTCTGAGCGCGCTGGGCCAGCTGCGCCGGGAGGAGGTGTGCGCCAGCGTACAGCGGCGCACGCAGCGCGTCGTCATGTCGCGCTGCAGCCAGCGCGGCCGCGACCAGATCTGGACCCTGGACTCGGTGAGGACGGGCCGCCGGCGCCGGCCGCGTGGCGCGCCGCCCGCGCTGTATGCCGCTGTCCGTGATGGGCCGACGGTGCGCACTGGGGCTGCGGACCGGGCCCGGGATGTCCGGCCGGTGGGCCGCGGAGGGCGGGCCCTTCACGCGCCGTGCGTCCGCCGCTGTGTCGTACCTGGACAGCGGCGGTGGCAGCACGGCGCCGTGTCGGGGATTGCTGCGACCCTATCAGAAAAGGCTCAGACCGCCCGTCAGACGCGTGGTCGTGTGTGCAGCACGCGCCGTTTTGAGCCAGTCCAACCCCCAGCGAGCGTGAAGTGACCGCGAGACGTTTGCGGCGTTAAGCACACAGGTAGATCCCGTCTGGCAGCGGAGGCGTGCCTTGTACCAGCAGCAGCGTCGAGCTGAGCTCCACGGGACTTCAGTCCGCACTGTTGCAGGCCACTTCGAATCCATGGCTCACGTGGCAATGAGCGTGCTGGTGACCGGTGTCGGCCGGGGCGCCACTGGTCACGGAGCCGCCCGACCCAAGCCCGGCCCGTTACTGGGTCACTGGTCTTTAACGTGCACTGGCGATGTTACTGCCGTGTTACGGACGTAACCTAACCATTAGTTATCACCTCAGCGGGATTGGGTTGACCAGAAAAGCCTCCGCCTTCGTGGTTACCGGAATGAGCGGGGATGGGGTGAAGGCTTAAAAGCGGCGTTCCAACCGCACCAGAGGCGTACAAACTAGCAGACGGAAATCTTGTGAAGCTTGCGGTGGGATTCCGGCCTACTGCGTCGCAACTTCAGGGCACGAATGTCGTATCGAAATACTGACGCGTGATAGAGGTGCCTGATTTTCACAGTTGGCGTGCTGGAGTCAGAGCTTTGAAAAAACATTGCAGCGCAGAGAGCCAGCACGGCCGGCAAAAATGACCGTGATATGCGGCTATCAATCATGGTGAAATGCAACGTTCTACGGTCGTGACCAAAAATAAGCGCTCGATTAATCCAATGCGTGTCGTGCTCTGGACGCCTGTCGGGTGTGTTTTGTTTCCTGCGAGTGTCAAGCTGGCTCCTGAAGCGATGATGTTGTGGACGCTTTGTAGCGCCGGCCTTGGTCGCTCGGGAGGCGCTACCAGCACCGCCTGAGTTTACACATCTGACCGTCGCGCTCTGGTTCGCAGACTACCTCTGTAGATCGGGGCGAGCATATTGTGCATCTGTGTACTGTTCCCACACGCTGTGCTCCGGTCGTGACATCCCTTTCATTGGGGCCGCCTTCGCATTCGAATACAGGCCTGTTCTGTGCGCCGCCCGTCAGCGCCCCTCGGTCTGACCGGGCGTTCGCTTTCAGCGGGCTACCTGGTGCACCAGAGGACCGGGCTGTGCCTGGACCGGACTGGGCTGGCCTCGGGCGACGACGTGTTGGCGACGCCCTGCTCCGGCGAGGTGGGGCAGCTCTGGTACTTCGACACCCGAGGCACGGCGCCTTCCTCGTGATCCCAGCCGGCCGCGCCCCGCGCCCACCGCGGCCTCCGGTGGTCTCTGCCGGGCGCTGCTGGCTGCCGCTGCCGCTGGTGGTTCCCGGCGGCCGCTGCTGGTTCCTGCCGGCTGATGGTTCCCGCCGGCCGCTGTTGGTTACCTGCCGGCCGCTGCTGGTTTCTGCCGGCCTCTGGTGGTTCCTGCCGGCCGCTGCTGGTTCCCGCCGGCCGCTGGTGGTCTTTGCCGACCGCTGGTGGTTCCCGCCGGCCGCTGGTGGTTCCCGCCGGCCGCTGGTGATCCCTGACGGCCCCCGCACCGCTACGGTGCGGCCAGCAGTCAACAGAGACACGCTGGTGGTTACCTGCCGGCCGCTGGTGCTTCCTGCCGGCCTCGCACCGCTACGGTGCGGCCAGCAGTCAACAGAGACACACTGGCGGTGTACGCGCCTAAGCTGTGCGCGGCGCGGCGTTCGGCGGCGGAGCAGCTGTGACGTGACCGCAGCGGATGGCCCGCTGATTGGTGGCGTGCCTCCGAGACGCCACGGTGATTGGTGGGTGGGTGGGGTGGGACCGGTGCGCTCCATGAGCGAGAATGCCGACGCCGGGTTTTCTGCAGCACGCAACGGGTGGCCGACCGACGAGACCGTGCGGGGGCCTGGAGACGTGTAACGCTGACCCCGGGAAGAGGTGCTCTGTCGCCGCGTCGCGGGGTTGGTGGTCCAGCGAGCGGCCTGTCAGGTAGACGTGGTGGTGCGGGCGCGCGCAGTTTCGGTGGCAGCTGGAGCTGGTTTTCGCGCATCCGCTGTCGTGATCCGCCCGGCAACTGTGTGAGTTAGGTCTGCTCTCGTGCTGTAATGGCGCGTTTGGTTCACTTGACGGCGCGCAGTCAGCTTGGCCACCTTTAATACTGACGCGGGACTTGCCACGCCAAGTGCCGGTGAGATTTCAACTTTCGAAGGATCGCCAACCTAATTTGGGTGCCTGATGTTTGTTAACGCAAGCGGCGGCCCCAGCAGAATGCCTGCTTGTGATCGGTCGCGTGCGGTGCCCGCCAGCGGGCTGCTCTTGACCGCCATGGGTCTGGCGACGGGTAGACAGCAAGTCGGTGGTTACGGTCGCAGCGATCGCAGCCGGGCTGTGCCGACCTGAGGCGGCGCTGCTGCAGCTGAGCGTGGGCTCTGCCGACCTTAGGCGGCGTCGCTGTAGCTGAGGGTGGGCTCTGCCGACCTTAGGCGGCGCTGCTGCAGCTGAGGGTGGGCTCTGCCGACCTTAGGCGGCGTTGCTGCAGCTGAGGGTGGGCTCTGCCGACCTTAGGCGGCGTCGCTGCAGCTGAGGGTGGGCTCTGCCGACCTTAGGCGGCGTTGCTGCAGCTGAGGGTGGGCTCTGCCGACCTTAGGCGGCGTCGCTGCAGCTGAGGGTGGGCTCTGCCGACCTTAGGCGGCGCTGCTGCAGCTGAGGGTGGGCTCTGCCGACCTTAGGCGGCGTTGCTGCAGCTGAGGGTGGGCTCTGCCGACCTTAGGCGGCGTCGCTGCAGCTGAGGGTGGGCTCTGCCGACCTTAGGCGGCGTTGCTGCAGCTGAGGGCGGGCTCTGCCGACCTGAGGCGGCGCTGCTGCAGCTGAGGGCGGGCTCTGCCGACTTTAGGCGCCGCTGCTGCAGCCTGTCGTCAGTGCCGAGCCTGTCATGAGAGCGTGCGTCATGCGTGCGACCCAGGTTTGATGTCGAGCAGATCAGTAGACCAAATTGTGTATGCTGTGGGGGGTAGAGAAATGGACTGGCTCACGCCTACTGACTGTCGACATTGTAGCCCACTGGATTACAGACCAGTCACACAAACTATGCTAACTTATGGCTTTCGCGGTCGTGCTTATTTGTTATGCATGCTTATTACAGGAGTCACGTGGATACCAACTCAACGTGTGGTGTTATTTATTTTTCTAGCGCAAAGCTCGTCACAGCTGTGGTTGGCCTCGGGGTCAGATTCGTTGTTGAGGGCGTGGGTGGCACCGTGGTGGCGCGCGCGGCGGCTCGGGCGGGGCTTGTGTCGCATGACCGCCCGGGTGGCCGCGGGGCTCAAACATGCAGTGATATTGTCGGCGAGCCGGCGCCGGGCCAACCCGCTCCCAGCGCCCGCACTGACGGGGGAAACGCATATCATGTGAACCGTCCACGGGCGCGTGCCGCCGCACCGCTGGGACCGACGGAGCGGGCTGGTGACCCGGCCGCGGCCGACGGCCGGCACGTGCTGTCGGCGCATGCTGTCTTCGCGACGCGGCGCCGGCACCGCCTGCCGGCCGGCTACCGTATTTTTATATGAAGAATACAAGTTTATAGGAGAATACCGTGTGTATTTATGATAATTTTACAGCGCGGCCATGTGGCCGAAGCCATTTGAGTACAGCGAACAGAGAAAGACGATTTGACGGTCAGGGGACGCGACACGCGGCGAGTGACCCCGGCCGTGGCTATGTACAATTCAGCAGTGCTGCAATGCGATAGACACCAACCTAACTGAGGAATGCTACAGTCAGCGTCGGCCACCGCCGCCTCTGCAGAGGTCGGCAGACACGACACAAAGTACACAAAACGAGCAACGCCGTTAGCCGGCACACCTATACCGCCATCTCGCCGAGCCCTGCACGGAACACGCGCGTCCTATGCGCCGGTCCGCTCACTCGGCGCCCGAGCCTGCCTCCTCGCCTTCGGCCAGGTCGACCGTGGTGTCGGCCGGCGCCTGCTCACTGTCGCTCAGCTCGACCAGACTGGGCTGGCGGCGGCGCTCGCCGGCCTCGCGCGCGGCGCGCCGCCGCTCGCGCACCGAGCGCGGCGCCAGCCGGGCGCGCCGCCGCCGCCGCGCCGACAGCGGGCCGACGAAGGCGCGCGGCCGCGGCACAGTCACCGTCCGCCGCGGCCGCGACGCTCCGCCGATTGGCGTGATGGTGATCTCGCGGTTGAGCTTGCTCAGCGCCGAGCCGCCGGAGCCAGCGCCGGCCGGCGCGCTGGCCTCCTCGCCGTCCTCGGGGTCGCTCACCTCCACCTCCACCTCGCCGCGCGCAGCGGCCGCCGCGTGCTCGCGCAGCTGGCGGCGCACGTCCTCCGTGACGAACTCGGCACAGTCCGGGTCGGCCAGCAGCGGTGTGAACTCCACCTCGGGTCGCCCCAGGTGGTCGCGACGGTAGTGCTCGAGCAGCGCGGCTGGCAGTGCCCGGTGCTCGCACAACTCACACTCGCGCTCGACGGCGGGCGCCGGCGCCGCGCGCCGTCGCTTCTGCGGCGTCGAGGCGGCCTGCGGCGGTCCGGCCGGCGCGCCGCCGGGGTGCGGGATGATGGTGATCTCGTCGTTGATCTTGATCGGCTGGCCGGAGGCGGCGGCGGCCGCGGCCGCCTTCTTCCGGTCGGACGACTCCATGATTTTCTTGGCGACGACCGAGTGCGACGAGTACACGTGGTTCTCGAACTGCTTGTACATGCTGAAGGTGGCCGTGCAGACGGTGCACTTGTAGGAGAGGTGGGCCGGCTTCAGCGTCACATGGTGGTCCTTGGACACGTGATGTAACAGCTTCCACTGGTAGACCTGCGGCCGAAACAGTCCACGTCATTATGCCGGACGACCACGCGTAAGTGGCAAACGGCTCACAATACATTCGGACATACTTTCGGCCATGCCATGACTCATAACCACCAGCTCGTATTAACACAACTATCACTTCACGAACAGGTCCTACGTCCCGACCACTGACTACCGGTGTTATGGGCTCGCGGTTACAAACCCCCAAGCAATTAAGCTGCCACTGTGCAGCGCCGCCTAAGTCCTGGCCTAGTGTGGCGTGGTCTGACCTTGCCGCAGATTGGACAGCGGCCGCTGTCGTGGCCCTTGTTGGCCGCCTCCTGCATGCTGCTCGTCACGAGGCCGTGCGAGCCGAGCAGGTGGCGCTCCAGGCCCTGGTCCGTGAAGAAGCGCAGCTGACACTTCTGACAGTTGAGCGGCGGCCGGTTATAGATCATCTTTGGATGGATCTTGACCTTATGGATCCACTGCATGTGGTTGCGGAGCTGCTCCAGGTCCTGCAACCACGCCGAGTCGCGTCAGGAAGTCCGTGCCAGGTCAGATCAAGTTGGATGCGGCCATTTCAGCTCTGGCTGGTCAGTCAGTGCTTCGATGATGAGCGAATGCAGAAGTCAGCAAAGCCAACTGCGGCGGATGCAGCTCAAGCAGGGAATGCAGAAGTCGAGAGATGCGCTGTTACGGTCATACTGACAATGCAATGAACATTACAAACATGGTCGTAATTAAGCTTGAAGAAATCTCTCGACTGCAAAATATTACCCTACCACATGCTAATGGGTACAAGTCACGCTAAACATGCATTCATCGAGCAACGCACTTTTGAGCCGACCCAATCCTGCCAAGACTATGACCGCACGTCACCGGCGTCCGGCAGCCACCCCCTCCCCTCCCCGCTCCCCGCTGCCACTGCCGCACGCAGTCCGACCGGCCGGGCCGCACCGCGCCACGCACCTTGATGTACCCGTCGCAGATCTCGCAGATGACGAAGGCGCCCTTGCTGAGGGCGGCGGCGTCAGGCCGGCCGCCGACGGTGCCCTTGGTAATGGAGAGCTGGGAGCCGGCGGCGGCCGAGCGCAGTATGGAGGGCACGCTGGGCGGCAGGCTGGGCCGCGGCACCGGCGTGATGCTGATGCTCGGCGTGGACGACAGCTTCAGCGCGGCGGCCGCCACCGTCTGACGGGCCGTGGCCGAGCGGCCGTCAGCAACAGCAGCGGGAGCGACACATGATGTGCTGACACACACACGGACGCCGAGAGAGGAGCGTGGACAGACGGACGAACAGGCGCTGGCTAGTTGGCTACAAAGAGGCACGCGAGTCACAGGGACGTCCACAACAGCCCTACCACCCGGTAACACAGCTGTTACAGAGGTCCGCCGTAACATGGCAGGCACACCCAGAGGTACGCCCATATACAGTCAGCTGCTGGCCAAACATGGGGTCAGGGCGCGGTCCGACTCGCGCAGTCCGACCCACACTCACACTCATACATTGTCACGCCACGCACACGAGCTGAGGTGGGGTGACGAACAAGGGCCGCCGCGCACAGACCCGTACAGACCGTACGGGTCAGAACGGTCTGTGCGTGACCATTGCCTCGCACATCCTGTGACCGCGATGTACGAGACAACGCTCCGCCACGCGGGAGACAACCGGATCCGGGGACGACCGCCAGAAGACGGGTCCACACGACTCGCAGACTGGGGCGTGCGCGGCCGGTACCTCGGCGCCCTTCCCATGACCGGACGCGACCAGCGCAGCGCCGGGGTCACACACCGACGACGGAGCAGGCGCTCGGCCACGCTCGCGGAAGCGGGCGCGGGACGCACCTTGGCGCTGGAGGTGGCCTGTATGCTGAGCCCAGGCGGGCCGGACGGCGCCGATGAGGGGACGATGTGCACGCCAGAGCCGCTGCCGCCGCCGGCGGCGCGAGCTGCCGCCGGGTTCACCAGCACCAGCTGATTGTTGACCAGCTGGAACGGCCGACAAACGGGTCACAGGCCGCCCCACCGCCAGGGGGAAGCACACCGCACTGGGTCGGGCCCCAGCTTCCCGCCGCAGAGCAGAACTGCGTTCCGAGTCGCTCAGCCCGGACCAGACGACACCGCGCACTTTACGACTGAGACTGGTACCTGGTAGATCTGGTTGCCGATCTGGTAGTGTGGCGGCATGATCATCTGCGGGCCGGTCGGAGACCGGATCATCTGGGGCGTCATGCCAGCGGACGCGGCAATGAACGCGGCTGGAACGCGGCACAAACTAGGTCAGAGAAAGGTGAGGGGGAGGGGGGTGGTAGATGGCAGTCAGAGGCGCTGAAGTCGACGGTCACAAGGGCACAAGGCAGAGCCTACAGTACCCGTCCGTGCGGGGAGACATGCGTAAGCAACAAAGACGCCTCAAGGTGAGAACGTTCACATTTCCGGTTTCTCCATTTTGCTACACGCCGACACACATAATCCCCCATTTATCACCAGCACCAGCAAAATCCGAAAGCGGAGCTTTACATGGCCGAATAGAAGATACAAGCCGTGCCGTAAACGAGGCCCACGCCCAGCTGGGTCAGCCAGCTACGGTACCCACTTCGGTACCAGCGCTCGCTCCCCACCACCGCCGCTCCGTCCCATCCCCTCTCGCTTCCAGTCACTCACCCTGGCGGTTGAATTGGGCGCGCGGCGGCACACTAGTCGGCACCGTCTCCTTGTAGGAGCCGATGGGGCGGCCGCGACTGCGCGCGTTGGCCGCCGCCGCCGCCGCCGCCAGCGCCTGCGGCAGGGCCTTGGCGCCGGGCCCGCCGCCGCGCACCGGCTCGAACTGCTTGCCGAGCACGTTGGGCCGGCCGCGGTGGATCTTGGGCACCTTGGCCGGCGGCACCCAGTCGTCCAGCCCCTGGTTCTTGTCGATGCGAAACTTCTTCTGGCAGGAGTTGAGGTGGCGGGTCATGCGGGCTTTACCCGAGTCCTCGTACGGGCAGAGTGGACACTGGAAAGAGGCAGGCGCGCGCTCCAGTCTGCCCTGCACGCTGTGCTCGACCGCCATGTGCGAGAGCACCACCTGCGGCGAGCGAGTCTCAAAGTCGCAGAAGTTGCACTGGTAGATGCTGCCAACCATGTGCGGCATCTCCAGATGCCGCTCCATCACTAGCACAGACTCAGTCTCGAACGCGCAATAGCGGCACTGGGTCAGCTTCAGCCGGAACGGCGCGTTTTTGCGCCGCGAAGCCGCCAAGTTGGCCGTCAGCGACTTAATAGCGAAGCGGGTGGCCTCGCTGCCGCCGCCCTTCTCGTGCGCCGCCTTGCGCTTCTGCTGCTTCAGCAGGTCCTCCTTAATAAACTCCTCGACGATGCCGCGGCCCTGGTCGAGCAGCAGCTGGCCGACGGGACCCTGGTAATAGTAGGCCCACTTGCCCAGATGGCTGAAGTCCTCCTCGCGCTTGGCGGCAGCCTCCTTGTCCGGCTGGTTCTCCTTGTTCGAGTCCACCTCCTTCTCCAGCTTGGCCTCGCCCGGCTCCTTGCGGTCCGCCTCGTTGCTCGCCTCGTCCACCTCGCCGCCCGCCTCGCCGTTCACCTTGGCCGCCTTCGAGACGCGCGCCATGAACTGCTTGACCGTCTCCTCGGGCGGGCTCTCCATCACGTACGGCACGATAAAGCTAGGCGCCTCCAGCACAAACTCGGCGTCGTCGTGCGAGCGGCGGTAGTAGTCCTGCAGCTGCTGCAGCTGCTCGCCGGTCATGCCGGCCGTGTTAATGCCGTACTGCGCCAGCGCCGACATCACTGACGGGTTGATGAGCACCGGCTGTCCGTGCGACGGCTGCGGCGGCGGCGGCGCGCGTGTCAGCGGCGGTGGCCGGCTGACGGCTCCGCTCGCCGCGCGGCCAGCCATCAGCGCCTCCGTGTCGATGATCACCAGGCGCGAGTTGTCGCGCGCCCCGTCGCGCGCGGCGCCGGCGGGGGCGGCGGCCGGCGCGGCCGGCGCGTCGCCCGCCAGCGGGTCCGGCGGCTCGATCTCCTCGATGTCCGAGTCGCTGGAGAGCGCCGCCGCCTCGTCCGCCTCCATCGGCTCCTCGGTCGGCTTGGCGCCGCTCGACGCGTCGTTGCCGGCGTCGTTCGACGAGCCCTTGGTGTCGTCGTCCGTGGCGCGGTCGGGCTCCGCTTCCGCGTCGTCTTTCGAGTTCTTGTCGCCCTTGACGCGCTCGGCGTCCTCATCGGCGGCGTCGACGGCGTCCTTCGAGTCGTTTGACGCCTTCGAGCCGCTGGACTCTTTGGATTCGTCACCACTGCCACGCTCGCCGTCCACCACGTCGCCGTCGTCGCGCGCCGCCTGCCTGTTGCCGTCCTCCGCGCCGGATGCGGCGTCCTCCTCCTCGTCCCCGTCCTCCTCGTCTTCCTCCGCCAGCTCGCCGTTCTCCTCCGTCTCCATCGGCTCGCCGGCCGCGCCTTTGGACGGAGTCTCCCCGGACGAGTCGGCGAACGGATCCTCGTCCTCTTCATCCTCAGCCTCCTCGTCCTCTTCGGCGTCGCCGACGTCCTCCTCGGCGTCCATCGCTTCCTCGCCGCCTTTGGAGTGTTCTGCAGGAGATGCGACACGTGGTTAACCGCCAGTTCATGCGGATGCATTTAGGCTGACTCACGCTAACTCAAATGACAAACTGTCCAGAAACCCAATTACAGTGCCGACGTCACTGCCTGGACTGCAGCCGCCAGGGGCGGCGGTACATTCACAGCCGGGTCCACTCGCTGTAACGACCCACCAATTGTGTGTCTCATCGTCACATTGCCATTTACCCACGCCGAGTGAGTGGATGGGTGACCACCAGGGGACATTTCTGGGACCATCGAGAAACATCAGATAGGATCGCCGTGAGATTAACAGAGCTTACAGCACCAGCACTGTACATCTTTTGGAACAAAAATTAGGTCACAGGTCATGCCTAGTCAACGAACTATGACGTAATCAGTGGAGATTCTCGAGTCAAGTTTTTTCTTCAGGAAGTGTGTATGGCATCCGGCTCCTATTAATTAGTGACACTGAATGCCAACATTAGACATGGGGTATATCTGAATAATGAATAAACTTGGCATGATCAAACAAGACCACCCATCTGCGATGACCGTGCTTGACCAATCCCACGATTTTGTGCATAGCTCCATTCAAAACTGTCCTACGCTCCGTGTACGTGATGCGCTACCTCTGGTTTCTATCGATTGTAGCTGACTTGCCTAAAACGTCCCTGGTTAATATAGGAATCCAACCCAAAATAACTGCATTCCTTTTATCACCAGCCTACTTGCCTTTACTTTTTTTGTTCTGCACCTTGATATCGATCAGGAACCACGTGGTGAGTGTAACACCCGTGCTCTTCCCTGGGGCGCCATGAAAAATAGCCCCTTCCACCCCAGCTAAGATGTTGGTTTTGTGTTGCTGTATGGCTGGAAGTACACGTAATGTCTCCATCTCAAAGCGTTAAAACACCTGTTCAAACACTGGACACAATGGCGACAGCCAAAGTCCGTGGGCGTCAGTTTCACACGCTGACACACGCATTGGTGTTGTGTTATCAGCTGGCGCCGATCCGTTTCGCTTCTGTGCGCTTCAATTTGCAAACGCCTTAATTTGCCATGGGCCATCGGCAAAAATGGTTGCACGCGAATTCGAAGGGTCCGATACGTTGGCAGGGACCCCATAGCTGTTATTTTTGCCGCCCAAAGGGAAAAAAACATTCAATCGCACCAGAGCACACTCTTTTGCCTTTTGACGGAAATTTGCCCAGTGATGTCTAAATCGCAGGAAAAAATTAAACCGCAACTCTCGTAGTACATCGCTAATCTATATATGGCCTCGGCATTTTACATTGCATCATCAGGTGATACCAGCCTCAGCCGTCAGGTCGATGAAATTCAAAGGAATGCTATGCTTGGCATGACTGCTCAGGAAACCGTGTTACTGTAAAACGAGCGGCAGACCCGAAACGATGCCAATGCACATATTGATAGACACCAAACCTTCCTAATGGACAAATCTACATACGCCTTCCCGTCTCCCCCAGACACAAATATCGGGCAGTGAGTAATGCCAGGGCAAACACCCCACCACCGTACATGGAGCAGATGTCTCCCCTTTGGGGAACGATGCGCCACCCTCACGCGGTGGAATCTGACATTCCCGAGCGGGGCTCCGTTTCTGGCCCCGATTGGGCTACTTCCACGTGGCGTTCGAGGGGCGGGGACACAGCGGTGAGAAAGCGCCTGGTGGAAGCCCTGCTCATCAACAGAGGGCTCTAGCGTTCGCTGGGACGACACCGAGCGGCACGTAGCCGACGTGTAGTGGGATCCGTACGACACGAGCGTGCCCACTGACCCAATACGCTCATTTACACACATCAGTGTTTGTGTACGTGTGCGCTTTATCGAACATGTTTTTGTCTGGCGGAGAAGAAATTGTGGTCAATATATGTAAATGCGTGTGCAAATATAATTATAATAAATTTGAACAAAAACCGAGACGGAGGGACGTTGACTGCCAAATCTGCGTCACCGGTGTCCTTCGGCCAGACCAGCGCGTGCCGTGGGACAAAGCAAGTCTGAAAGAGCGGCGGTAAGCGGGGCGGTTCAGCAGAGGGCTCAGCTGGGGACCCCAACATGTGCGTGCACCGCCCACGACGGTGTACGAGTGCCTGTGGTGTTCCCTGTCAGGGCGGAAGGTGGTCGGTTCAGGAGGACCCTACGAAAGACACTTGCTCTGTCGCTGTTGAACGACCCACGGTGGCCGGGGGGGGGGGGGGGGGACGTGTGCTTACCAGCCTTGTGCGCGTCATGCTGTAATGCTAGTACGTCGCTGCATCACAAAACATGGCGTGGGCTTTCAAAAAAATCGATAGCGTTGCAGATGTGTGGCGCTTGAACCGCACGAAACGCTACAACGCTCCTTTGATTTCGACGTGAACCGGTTGCCCATACAGATATGAGCCCAGCAACATCTGCCGACAAATAAGGCATGCAACTGGGAACTGCCTGAAAGCTCACGAACGCCTATATCACGTTTACCTGCCGCACAAAACACTCGTTGGCCAAGCACTCGTTATTAATAATCTAGCGCGCCGCACAGACAGCTGATCATTCATCGGCATAAACCCGATGCCAATGTAACGAATGTCGCCGAACAAGGCATGGACTGCGTGGCCAGATTAATGATGGAAAATTTGCAGTTCTCTACCCATAACATAATTACCTTGGGACTATATAGCTTGCACAAAATGACCAGCTTTACGGGGCACCCGAAATTTATGTGCGGTCGGTGCCGTCTATCATTTCCCCTACCCCGAGCGCTGAGTGAGTGAGACTGCACCGCGCTCGGCCCCGGAGCATTCCGCCGTGTCAGGCGATCACATGACCCCAGCGGCCGACATGACTTCGGTCGGTAGCGGGCGGGAGAGGTCATTCCTTTCGAAAAAGCCAACGTGTCAAGTCCGCATATCGCCACATGTGAAAAAGCGCAAGCCATCGATCCGCTACCGCGCGATTGGGATGGTCAAGGGCGGTATGACCCAGGTTCAGGTCACCAGGGACTTGGGCGTCAACGCAGCGATGATTACGCGCTGGCTGGCCCACGACCGTTCAGGAGAGACGCTCGAAAACTGTACAGGTCGTGAGCAGAAGTCGGCCTCGAGCCGAGTAGCAAAGATCGTTATTGCAGAGTCGGCCTTCAAAAGGCGCGACTCGACGAGAATCCTGGCGAAAAAAAAGATGGCGGACAAGCACCCAGCTTCCAAGTCGGCCGTCCGCCGGCATCTGAATACCAGCTTGCAGCTGAAGCGCTCAAGCGCTGGTTGCGACCAGGGCCTACCGTGAACCAGAGGCGCAGGCGGCTGGAATTCACCACCGCCCGCAAGAACTGATCCGTTCAGGACTTGAAACGCGTCCTGTTCAGTGACGAGTCGCCCTCCGAGCTCTTCCAAGCCCCTGACCGCCAGAACGACCGGTTCTGGGCCAACAGCTCGGAGGTGCCCACCGCCGAGAGAGTGAAGTGGCTGCCTGGTATTTTTGTCTGGGGCATGATGAGCTACAGAGGCCTCTCTGAGCTGCATCATGTCCCGCGCGGGCAGACCGTCACCGCCGACTACTACGTTAGAGAAGTGCTGGAGAAGACTGCACCCTCGGCGATGCAGCGGAGGAAGGATTCTAGAAGGAGAATGGCCCGGCAACCAAGGCCAAACTCCTGCCAGACATGTCGAGGGCAATTTTCCAGCAGGACGGTGCTCCAGTTCATCACGCCAGAAAGATCCAGGACTGGTGCCGCGCCAACTTCCCGGGCTTCTGGGAGAAGGGTTCATGACCAGGTAACAGCCCCAACATGTCGCCGATCGAGAACCTCTAAGCGATCGTCAAGGAGCTCAGCAAGATGTCGCCGGCCACTTCAGAGAAGATATTGTTCCAAAACGTGCAAGCGGCGTAGAGGAGGGTCAGGGCAAGACTCTTGACAGCCTGATGCGCGGCGTGCCGGAGCTCATGCGGCAGTGTGAACGGCTGCGTGGGATTGCACTGGCAAAACCCTGAACCTATCTCACTTACTTTCTTTGTTAGTGACGACGATACAACCGCGCACCAATTTTGGGACACCCTGTACTCAGTAGACCCGAAACACATGTCTCGTGCAAACAGAAGATATGTCACCGACGTTTTACGACAGGCGGGCGTAGACTGTAAACGTATGTGGCAAGGTGCAAACATTTGTTTGGTTGATAAACCACACAGCGTGCAGCCACCACAAAAATAATCATCCTTTCAACCCCCATCACCACCCAAAACCAAAATGTTATCGCGCCATCGGCGAGACTAAAATGTAAAAAACAGAAAGAACGGTGAATGGTAAAAAAAACACCGTGGCTGGTAATCTGCCGTAACCATAAATAAGGACACCGCTGGCCCCGGGGCAAGCACGACATCGAAAGCTTGCTGTCGAGCCAGTTACCTTGGCAACATACCCGCCACCAACAGTCAGCTGAACAATCCTCTACGTCACCCGGGGTGACGTCACTCTTACCCACCGCCGGCGATAGACGGCGCTAGCGTAGCAATTCACGAGTGTGCTCGGCACATCGATACTCGTTATACGGGCACGACGCGCGGGAACGGACCGCGGCGGCGCTGCCGCCGCCGCCACCGTCCCCCCCCCCCCCCCCCCCCCAGCAAACAAAGAGCCGGCTCCCAATACGTCATAAATTGGCACAGTGCCCGGATGGGGGAGATGGGGGTGCCGTGCATATGCCGACATCTTTGCTTGTTTCTGATACCCCGTCAGTGCACCATCGAATGCGGCTGAGGAAACCTGTCGGACATCGCCATTGCGGACCGATGGTCCACAGCATTTCAGAGCGGCCGTGGCCGTCACACCAAACCGTCGCTATCAATGAAATAAAAGCATTTATCGGACCAACCGCCTATCGGAAGGCGCCTCGATACCCCGTCGCCAAACAGTCACATAAGCGACCTCGTTAGGCTTATTTCCTCATTCAGGGAAATATGAGCGCACATCATAAACTACTCATCAGCTTTCTGGTCACAAAAACACATCGAACACTGCTCCCGAAAGTTATAACCACAACACACCCAGTGACGAAGCGACACCGCCGTAAGCCATGAACATGGTAGATTCCCACACCAGTTGTCGCAGAGAAGAGAGCACGCTGTCCAGTCTCGACAGGCTGTATATGCAGGCCGACAAAGGTCATCCCGGCAATCTTTGAGCCTCGATGAATACGAAAAATAACGAATGCATGCTTAAAGCAACACAAATTGTGAACACCGACGAAACAGTGCACTCTGCCTCAGACCGTCTTACACACCAAGAGCAGCGTTCAGAGCCGGAACGCGCTGTCTCGACATGAACGCCTCATCTTGCCAATGTGACCCCAATCGCCCTAGGGGTCAGGATGGAGCCGGGTCAACCCCTGACCATAGCCGGCAGCTCCCAGCGCCGGCGGATCGCCACATTCGGCGATGGGTCCGAATCCTCCGGGGGAGCAAGCGTCGCCCGGGACATCCCGACGCCGCGCTGGCATGCCGCCATCGAAACCGGCCCGTGCGCACGCACGCGGCATCCCTGCGCTTGAGTCCGCACAAACGGAATATATTCCCACCCGGACCCACAATACCTGAGGCTGATTCAGACTCATTCCCAGCAGCGCACCATAGCTTTGGGTCGACGCCTGATTCCGACTCGGGGATTAATGGCTTGATTATGAAATCGGTTCTGGTGGAGTCGCTGACTATGCAAACGTCTGTGTGATGGACCCGAGATCTGCATGTGAGCTTCATACAGACTACCTAGGACACTTATATTAACAGCAGAACGGCGAGAACGGCGGCAAGCAGTTTTGGTTGCACGGGACGGGGACGGGGTTAGCCATGGTTACACACCAAAGCGCTTCTCATTTCTCGCATTACCTTCCACACTCGTGCGTGCAGCGCAGATCTAAGTGCAGTTTATTGCTCCGTCTATCCTCTGAATGTGTTTTTTGGTTTATCTTGTTTTGTGCTTTATCCTCTCAAATGCATTTTTGGTTACCAGTGCGAATAAGCACGATTTTGTATACCGGTGGTATGATGTATCGCTGCTCATGTACGACGTATGTGCTGTATGTGCGCTGCTCATGTACCACGTAAATATTTGTTTGTAGTTCGGCGAACAGTCCGCTCCGATACCAGACAAGGAGGAAGATAGTATTTAAACAATTTCGAAATTCTGGCAGGCGCGCCATATCATCACCTCAGTGTTAGTAATAGACCTACGGTGAGTCAGGTCCCGGAGTCACAATTGGAAAATCGAGTTGCAATAACAGAAAGGCTTGATCCATGGTTTGGTTATATCAGAGGCCATAGTCCAGGTCAAGGCTCGCAGGTCCTGCCGTGTTATACGCACCATTCCAAAACTAATCGATGCTCACCTCTCCTTCAAGTGCCCACAAGCCTCCCTTACCACCTTCAAGGGGAAGTTCATTTGATTTTCCCTGTCTGTGATGCTTCTAAAACTGCCGTTTGTCCTGCGAGCCTTCAAACGGCCTTGACCAGTAACCTACTTGGCACGAAAAGATACGTTTCAGACGTTACAAACGAGGCAGTAGTCGCATGAGGGGAAAATACCAAGTTCTTGCAGGCACCGGGATTGGGAAGGCGCGCTTACATTCGCACTTGTCTGGAATAGCATTTATATAAGAATACAATAGCCTTTTGAAAAGAAACAATTCAGCAAACCCCTTGATTCATGTCGGAGGCAAAATGCGCAAAATTTATTCAAAATTCGAGCTACCCATGACTCGGTTGACGTGGCTCCGAATCCGAATTACAATATTCGGAAGATCTGACTCCATCCTGACTCAATGAAAATGTTGATGATGTCGGAGTCCATTCTTATTCCACCCGACGCCCGTTCCCTACTTTGGGTGAGCACATCGCCTATCTACGACATCACACGGCCAAAGGCCATTCTCCACCAGGCCGAGAGGCGAAATAAGTGCATTTGTTTATAAGCAAATCGTCGCTGTTGACATAGCAACGCCTAGCAACGGTCGATGCGCTTTTGACGGTCCTGAATGTCCGCCGAATAGGTGGGTCTCGATCTCATGTGGGTAGTGTGATCGACAACTGATTTTAAGTCGCCGCAAAAGTTGTCAGCAACTGTTCACTCGAATAAAATTTAAGTGCACCATTCCTACACGGTAGTCTCCGCGGAGTTCACTCGACTGATAATGCCTGTGCCCAACCCGGCGAGGTGGAGACAACAGATGTCACGAGCCATCCGCTTCATCGCCCTCGCAGACCAAACCAGACCCGACCTGGCCGGAAGGCTTCGGCCCGCGTCAGACCAGTCTCGTCCGCTTGCGGCGCACGCGGCGCATGCTGTCCGCATGGGGTCCCTCATATGTCTACCCGACCTGTTCCTGGCGGACTGTGTGTGACCTTCCCGCGCCCAGTCAAGTAAACCGCTTACATCGTCCCCAGTCAGGTGCATACATCAGCGGCTGCAGGGGCATGCAAGGCCACCTTACCCATGTCTTGTCTAAATGATTTTGGGCATGCATAATAACCATGAGCTTGAGCATATATGGGCTGCACTTTGGGCAACTGGGAGGACCTAGCCCAGTCCATTAAATGTCATGCCAAACAGTTTCCTGCTCCATACCAGCACAGCACTCTCATGCCTCACAAACAATAGGTGCACTTGTGAGATGGTGGGCCCACAACCCCCCCCCCCCCCCTACAACTCAACAAGCAGTTCTCATCAGCTTGCCATCCTGTGTTGCACATAACAGCTGATGCTAAAATAGACTTTCTCAGAGAACATAGCAGAGATTTGAGGGATTGATCCAACACAATCATAAACATTAACTATCTGCTTCACCAATAAAGATGTGACCTTTGGGCTGCTGCTAGTGGGTGGGATGAGCTGCAACCCATCCCTGAACAGTTGGCTATTGGAGACATTGATTTCAAAAAATTCCAGGCATTGCAAATTTTGGCCAAGTCCCTAACAACTGATGCAAAACTTTTTAAGCCCTGGTGCTACCAGTAGGCTAATGTATGTATACTGGTCTACAGTCAGCCACACTTAGCTACTGGCACTAGTACCTTCAATTCACTCACAAACATAAAATTTCATGGTATGGTGACTCATGAACTGGAACCAAGCCTTGGCTTATGCTGGTACAGTTACCAGTTTTCACTGCCTTTTTGCAGGCAACAACACTGCATGACACTGGCAAAGTCCTGGTATTGCCAACCCATGCACCCTCTGGTGCTGTGAGTACTGTAGCATGAACAGTGTCCCCAGCCAATGAAAACCAGATATAAAAAGCTGATCTGAATATCAGAGACTGACCAATTACTCTTTCTACTGAGATCATCATACAGCACTTGCCAAAACAAAGCCATGCAACCTGCAATCAGATTTGCAGATGGGGATGACAAGGTGGCTGAATGACAACACTCCCCAAGAAAATATTGAGAAAATAGGTATGTCAAACCACTGGAAAGAAGCAATACATTATAGCACTTTTGTACTTCAGATGAATGGGCCCCAGCCAAGGCATCAACCCCCTGCCACTCCCTCCCCTTCAGGAAGCAGCAAATATGTTTGGTCTGTACAAAAACTAGGTTTCTATGAGCATGGGATAGTTAAGTCAAAGTCAATTCCACCAGCTCACCAGCTCTATCATGTCATCTCAGCAACACCTCCCTAGCTTACTTTGCAGAACTTGGTTTAAATTCATATATCACTTGGCATGTGGAAATCATTGGGTATATGCTGAAATATTCCTCCTGAATCAAACTGATGCCCATGCACCTGACACATGCTCTTAAAAGGCAGGTAGAAGCATCAACATTTACAGCAGATAACACCATGTGTGTGATATTAAGGGCACAACAGGCATAATTCACATCAGATCAATAACTTCTAAGTATATGGGTGCATCTATAGCACAGGACTTGAGAACTGAGATGCTGTCTTTGACTCACCTTTTAATAAATGTGCATCACCATTCACTTCAGCCTCGGAATCCCCCATCGCTTCTATGATCTAGCTTGGATGATATCGGCAGTTGCAATAGGTCTACCTGAGGAGGAGAAACAGTTTGTTCTATGCCATAGCACTTCTACCCTCACCTAAAAAGTATAACTAATTGAGCCACAACATAGCAAACCACTAGCAGCACAAAAATTGCCTACTGTTCTAAAATGCACATAATACAGCTTCATGATAAGGTCAACAGGGCATGGGCCACATGACTTCACCAAACCCTACTGGCTCTGATAACTATGTGAATAAATAAGTACTAACAGTTGCTATATCAAGGTGCACATAAGAAGTACCTTAAAACATGTGGTCTTATGCATCACACAGAAACTTTTAAATCTGCCAAATATAGTGGATAATTTCAGCTGAATTTATATCAATGTCAGGATCATGAGATCCTCAAGATGTTATCCCTAAATTCTAAGCTAAGCCTAGATAATATCCACCAGCTGAACAACCCATAATAGCAGGTGCACATATGTATTGTCCAAATAACTGAATATCTCAAACCAATGCAGCCCAAAATGGACAAAGCCCTAAGCCAGTTGAGCATGTGTACATGCTGGTTGGATGCTTATGGGATTGGGGAGTGCCTGTGGATAACATCAGCTACTTGGTTCAAAATGTTAGGTTAATAGGCTGCACACCTGCATACTCTGGTATTATTATCATGCATGACCGCTATCCACATCTAACATATTAGCATTTTTCCCCCGGCACCGACGGGGAAACCAACCAGACCATTACATGAATGCGCCAAGAACGTCGCTGCGCCACGCCGCTAACAGGTATGTGCCCAACGTAGAAGTATGCATGATTCCCATTGCCTACCCCGGAAAAGCGTACATAACCCCATAGTTATGCTCGCAAACATCCCTCGGCCTACCCGAAATATCCTGGGATACTTGCTCGCCGTACGCCTCCCTACACGCAACCCGGGTGTGCGCCCTTGCAGAGTGGCGGAGAGAGCGGACACAATTCCGATTCGTACAGAATATGGCGCCTTTGAAAAATATGTGACGTCACATAATTTCCGTTTTGACCAATCCTGCCTTTGCTCTAGGTCACGTGATATCACGTGACAGGCTCTTCGCTGTACCGCGCTGCCTCCCCGCTGACGTCATCGGACGGCGGGCTCTTCACTTGTCCCGTGCAGCCTCCCCGTGCAGAGCGTTAAGTTGACCTAGGAGGGATCCGAATGTGTCGGGACCGATCCCGGGACATTTCCGCCCTCATCTGAATGTCCCGGCTCAATCAACCCCGACACGATGTCCGAGACCCCAACTGGACCCACCTCACGCACGTGCTCGGCGCGAGACGTGTGTTTCACTTAACATGTCCTATTAACGAATAACATTTCACCAAAATTTACCCGCTGGAACCGCCCCTTCTAGTTCCTTACGGCGCCAGGCAATCGGTCCACTGAAGCAAAACACAAATTGGAATGCTCGGATGCGGGCGGGTCCATCACGGTGACCGTGTTGCACCGTTTAAATTTGCCGGGTGCAACGCCGTCTCGTTAATCGCGTGGTCGTAGGTACAAATATGAATGCGTGTGTTAGGGCGCGCTCGGCACCCGGCGATGTAGAATTGGGATATGGGCTAACGTGACAAACAGAAAAGCCAAGAACTCCAATCCGAAATCGATCCCCCAGTTCTGCAGGCACCGTGGCCGTGACTTAAGCGCGTCGGCCAGAATGTGATGTCAAATGATTTAGCTTTGAGCACGTCCCGATTTCGCGTGGAGACCGTAGTCTGGAGCCTGGTGCAACATCAAGTCAGCGTTGCACACAAGACTTGCCTTGTAAGGCAGCAGCTTGTTTGCTCTTCAGACAGGATTCATTTAAAGCCTCCAGTTGAAGCCGTTTAAATGCCCCGACGCCCTCCCGCAATCGGCTCGGGCATGTTGTCGGTTCCAGCGAATGGCGTGGGGTAGGCCCTCATGGCAGCGGCCCTGAATCACGTGTCAGAAACACTGGGGTGTAGTCTTCTATTTAGTTGTGTGTGTGGTGGGGGGGGAGGGGGGTATTCAACCACCTCCAAACTGGGTTCCAGCCGCTGAACTTTGGGGAGAAAGTGGGTCAAACCCGGAGAGAAACCCGTTTGTTGGATACAGGTAGTGGGATAGGTTGATTCAGTTTTCACTACTACCCCCTCCCCCCTCTCTCAACTCACTTTGCAAAAGTACGCCGCTGGTTGGAAATGAACCCTCTCGCTGGTACAACTGCGAATTACCAGCACAGCTACATTGGCTGCTGGGAATCCACTGCACGTCTCGACTCGACTGGCCGTCCCGACGTCCGCAATATTGTAACAGATGCTGCAAACGCGGTCAATGCATGCAGATTCTGAGATTTGCTTTCGATACCTTGTGCAGTGTGATGTATCATTCTATCAGGTGTGTCATAAGCGCAAAACCACAAGATACCTCAAATAAATTCATTCGGCCCTGATTACGGCTTAAGATGTCTCAGCTAACCGCATTTTTGCTGTAATGCTGCTTAACGGCTATAGTTACAGCCTGTCAGATAAGAAACGCTCACACCGAAAAAAACAGCCGGCCCACCTGTTCTAAGTCGCGCGCTTGCCACGCGGATCGCCAGCATGGATGCTCGGTCCGATGGCGCGCAAAGTCCTGCGAATCCATAAGGCAGGCGATGGACAGGGAGTCCTCACTCCTGTCCGCTGTGACTTGCCACGACCATAACCGTAGATTGTGCCCGAGGCGAGCTAGCACGTCACGCCATCCTCAAAACCGGCTGGAAACCGGTTTGTCTGGCGGGCAGTGCTCGCCCGCCGGGCCGCCGTTCCCCCGCGGAACACACTCGTCTCGCCGGCGGTGCCGTCGTGCTCCAGCGGGCCGCCGCCGCGCCGTCCGCCCCGCGCTGGTCGAGCCGACGGCCCGTACGGCGGCGGCCGTAACGGGCCGTCGGCCAGCCCGGCCAGCCCGCCGACCGTGGCACCAGTTTTGAACGGGCCGCCGCCGCTGACGGCAGGCACTCGCGCTGGGTGGGGCCAGAAGCCCGGCCCGACCGGGCTGACCACGGGAGCCGTGCACTGCTTTGCGACGGCCAACGCTATGGATAGGTGCGGTACTCCCCAGCGCTGATAGAGCTGTGAATGGCCGCCGTTTTGCGGTCGGAGACATGCGAAGACGAGTGGTTTCTCAACAAGGTCCAATTTCATAACGGTGAACTGCTACAGCTTGTCAATGAGCATCGTATGAATGAACATTAATTGCATAGGTTCGTAGTCTCTTTCCATTCATCCATAACCTGAGCACCACTATACAATTTTTTAGGAACGAAGCTGTTATTCTTTTCTTTGGCTTGTATATGTACCGCACGGAGTGAAAATGGCATAGAGTATATCCTTGCCTTATAACATTAACTTTCACAGAAGGCCTCGGCATGGATACGATAGAATGAGCTGCGACCTGGACCATGTTGTATAAATATGTTGATATTTTATCGGTGGCTGAAGTCCAACCATGCGGAAAACCAAGGCAGCCGTGCCAGTCATCAGCAATATTAGGGTCCACGATGAAACAGCAATGTAACCATATGTCACGTATCACGGGCCCGAAAGTATGTCGTTCAGTTTCGTCCCTTTGATGGTATATGTGTTCCGTTAAACCGTAAAACTGTCCTCATGTATTCAAGAATGATTGATCTCCAGACTTCACAGACAAAAAATGTCAGGTGTGTCGTGAACGCACAAAACGACTGATGCAGACTGGTATGGATCCCCAGGTGAGGGAAAGACTGCAGCCTGTACAGACCACTGTCTTTTGGAGAGGCCACGTTGCATAAGCCAATCCCTACGAACTGACATCAAAGCATCTTAACTATCCGATATGTAATCCTATAATGCATATAATTTGGCACCATCTTTAAGTAAATTTGCCTCCAATTGCATGCGTCGAAACGCATGCAATTGCTCGTGACTGAGATGGCCTGCGGTCGGGGGCAGCGGGACGCCAAAGGTCACGTGACGTCAGGAGGCAGGACTGATCGTACCGGGTATTGTCGCATCCGCCGCATGTTGCTGCGGTTGGCCCGGAATTCCACTGTCTGGTGATGGGATAAGGATCCAGCAGCAAGCACAACTCGGCGTGGATCCCAGAAATCCATATAACGAAAGATTCGGAGTGCATCTAAAAACGTGTACTACACCGTGCAGCAAGTCTACCACACACTACACCGTGTCCATTGTTATTGATCCTCCTGTATGTTTCATCTTGGATCCAGACATTTACGTCGGTGAAAGGAAACTTTGGAAAATCTTTGAAGCAGTTTGGGATCCAAGCAGGTCAAAACTTAAATGCCAATTTTCTAGAATTAGCACCTACGCTTAGCAATGCATGTTGTATAGGGCTTAGCCTCACCATCTGGCAGTGAAATCCCCGGTCAACGGCAGAACCTCGCGTCTTCGTCGCGAGGTGCCCCAGTGTAGCACGGCACCTTACCTTACCTGACCGTACCTTACCTTACTCTACCTTAGCACGGCCGCTACCAGCAGCCGCAGGACATTGCAGTCACGGACAACGAACCCACCCCATCACGGCTAGGTAAATCGGAAGGCAAGCTCCCGAACAAACTGAGCTGTCGAGACGGACGAAAGTGCAGTCCGAGTGAACAGGGGTGTAGTTTCCTATCCAGTCGGGGGAGCTCCAGAGCTCCCCCGACTTGAGCTACAGCCACCCAATTCCGAGAAAGAAGTGAGCCGAATCCGGGAGAAACCGTTTGTTGGCGTATTTTGGGGCGGGTTGCAATTTTTTCACCGCTTAGCCACGTCTCCTCCCACAATTAATTTTGCGAAACTACGATCCTTATTATAAGCATTGTGTTCATGATAGTGATAGAAGGATCCATGATCATAGATATAAAATAGATGTCATTATGATAAGCCAAATCGCTTTTCGTGAGGTCAAGGAAGGCCATTTACTCATCAGAAGCTTTCTCCTATACTTGTATATCCTAAATGTATTTTGGAAATATGCGTATCCAAAATGCATAACATTATGTTGAATCTGCTTGAGACCAGACAGAATCTACACTATTTGAGACAGCTTTTAGAAATCTAACCAATCCCATATGTAAGCATTTAGCACTGAACGCATTGCCAGAATAAATTCATATGTTATAACCTTTCATGCTCCGATATCTAGGCTAAGTAAGTAGTGAAGACACCAAGGATGGAACCTTGTATTTGATGTCTGGGACGTCACGACATTAGCGTCCGGGGCTTCTTCATCAAACTACATGAGGGCAGGCAGTAACGCACGGTCACTGCGCGCTGACTGCACGCAGCATTTGCCATCTTGTCTAGGCCTCTGATGTAGCGACGGCTTTCTATCCGTGAGAAGCCTGTGAAGTTTTGGAGATCTTGCGTATACATAAAGGTGTTTTCTGGAGTGTTCAACTTGACCTTCAACACACAGGCTAGAACATTCTAATGCGTATGTTCCGTGACACATTGCCATTTGACTACCTTCATCACATGCATATCAGCATTTTCAGCATTAGTGTTTTGATGGTACTATTTTCCACTTGCCATGACAAATTTGGACATCTAATACTGCTCCTGTCCATTCTTCTGTTATTAGCTCGCCATCTCAGTGTGACAACGTTCATCCTACCTACATACCTTGTAACTATAAACATTTAGATATAACAAGCAGATCTCGCTTGCTTCCCGGTGCGAGAAAGTGGCGTCGTTGGCGCCTGTAGCGCCTCTGTCAGCGGCGTAAAATTAACTCACAAGTATGTAATGTAATGCACAGCTGAGTTGCCATGTCCGAGCTGATTGGCACTCATAAGTCAACTCTGTGCAGTGTAACTCCGATTCACTCCGCGGAACGCTGGGTGAATATGACTTTATCCATGCGTGAATTGGCTGTCCCCCTGCGATCGGGGATGCATCATTCATCGTGGCACTCAGTTTGCGATACGTTTACGACGGTTTGGTCCTCGTACGCCTTGTTTCTCCAACATACAC